CATGACAGGCTAGGTAGGCTGGCGCCGGCCGCGCCCAACCCTGAATCCGTGGGCTAGGAGGTCGCGTGAGGGGCATCAAGGTTGGGGAAGATACCAAGAGCCCGTAGGCCAAAGTTAAGTAATTGATAAGTTCAAGCTTTAGAGCTGCGAACCTTTGCTTCAACATCACATCAGCGCATCTTTACCACTGCTGAAACTCAGTCATATTTCAATTCGCAGAGAATCTTGACATATACACGATAAAACACCATGACCCAACCAGGATGGCGAGCGCTCAACGTGGGCATCATTGGCGGAGGGATCGGAGGTCAAGCATCTGCCATTGCCCTTCGACGGCAAGGACACAGTGTGACAATCTACGAGCGCGCAGATTTCGCTGGAGAAGTTGGAGCCTCCATATCCTGCGCTGCAAACGGCACAAGATGGCTCGAGGAATGGGGAGTGAACATTGAACTTGGCGACCCGGTAATCCTGAAGCAGCTCATTAGCCGCGACTGGAAAACCGGCGAGCCCGCGAGTATCTACGACCTCCATGACTACAAGGAAAAATGGGGCTATGTAAGTGAGTTGGATCTTGATTTGGACTAGTGGCTTATGTTCGGTAGCACTACTACATGTTCCACCGGCAGTACATGCATGCCATGCTTATGGACAGTGCAGTTGGCCAGCGTGGAGAGGGCGAGCCGGCAAAACTCAAAGTCAATCACAAGGCCAAAGACGTGAACCTCGAAACCGGCGAGATTACATTTGAGAACGGTGTCACGGCCAAGCACGACGTCATTATCGGCGCTGATGGCATCGGTTCGACCATTCGCAATGTACTTGGCATCAAAGTCGACAAGGTCCCAGCATCTTGGAGCTGCTTGCACACCAACGTAGACACGGATGAGGCCGTCAAGCTGGGGCTGGTCGACTACTCCAAGAACGCTGCAATTGAATACTGGGGTGGCTATCACTCGCACTACAAGATTGTGCTTTCGCCTTGCAACGGTGGCAAACTTCTCTCTTACTACTGCTTCTTCCCGCGTGAAGCGGGCGACTTCCAGAATCAATCTTGGGACGAGGCTGCCACCCTCCCAGAGTTGCTCGCGCCGTATCCAGACTTGGACCGCCAGGTGTTCAAGCACTTGGAGATTGGCTACGAGATCCGGCCATGGAGGCTTTGGAAGCACCAGCCGTACCCGTACTGGCAAAAAGGAGTGGCTTGCATCATCGGAGATGCCGCACACCCGGTAAGCATGTTACCATGGGTGAATGAAGCCTTGACGCTAATGGTTTATAACAGATGATGCCCGATCAGAGTCAGGGAGCGTGCCAGGCCATCGAGGACGCCGGAGCTCTTGGCACGATTTTCAGCAAGAAGAATTTCAACGGCAACATCCGTGAGGCTCTTGAAGTTTTCGAGGAGGTCAGGAAGCCGAGAGGAACAAAGGTGCAGGCGGCCTCAGCGCGAGCAAGCGAGAACATCCACGAGCGCATTGGCTTCTCCAGCAACAAGACAGATCCTCACTACACGGTCCAGGATGAGAAGAACAAGCTCACGATTGATGAGATGAACACGTGAGTACCAAGTGTGACTTGGCTTGAAGAGAATGCCTTTGCTGACGCGGAATACAGGTACGATATGCACAAAGACGTGGCGGAGAAGCTGGCTGCTCGAAGGGGCACGAACGGAGTCAAGGCTTAGTTGGGGGAACTTTGGGGGGGCGGAGCGGTTCGCCGTGCCAGTATGTCTGTGATGTTTGATAAGTAGTATTTTTGTAGATTCCGGAACGGTCAATGCACACGATGAAGCAAAAGAGTCGAGGGCGTGTGGTGTTGATGATGATGATGACGATTGCCAAGTGTGTCCTCCCCGCACGCTCTCACGTGCGACGGAACGCTGTGCGGAAGGAGCGCGCGGCTTCCGGAATGCAGCGAGGCACGTGCACCAGCCCAAGGCGGCGTTGCCAATGGGCCCTGGATGGCGAGACGGGCGATGCAGCATCAAGCATCTGGGCGATCAAGGGCCTGAACCAGGACTACGCTGCATCGCCATGCGCAGCTGCAGGCGTCAGAAATAGTAATAAATGTGATTGAGCCCTTGCAGCTTCTCACAACCAGCCATTCAAACCATTGCACACCACAACCAACAAGATGATGCGACTCTGGAGATCATCAGGGCAGCTGCCCAGAGCCCTCTCCAAGAACTGCCAGCAGTCTCGATCCTTCCACTTGACACGCTCTTTGCGAAGCCGGGATGCGTACCAAATCCCTCTCATCATCAATGGCCAAGATGTAACAACAAACACATCTTTCGAGGTCCAGAGCCCCGCCACCGGAAAACACGTCTGGAACTCCTCATCTTGTTCAGAAGAAGATGCACTCTCCGCCGTCGAAGCAGCCGAAAAGGCATTCCCGGCATGGTCACAGACCAAACCCTCAACCCGCCGAGACATTTTCTTGCGAGCTGCCGACATCATTACCAAGCGCAAGAGGGAGCTGGGAGATTACATGCACCATGAGATTGGAGCCGACCAGTACTACCAGGATTTCATTCTGGGCCTGTCGATTGAAGGCCTGAGGGATACGGCTGGGAGGATTCCAGAGGCGGTCCAGGGCTTTGTGCCTCACGTGATGCAGGACGGTGCGCATGCCATTGTTTATCGCGAGCCTTATGGTGTGGTGCTGGGAATCGGCCCTTGGTGAGTTGCAACATTTTGCTGATGAGCTTTCTCTACTCGGCACAATTCGAATACTATGCACGAGGCTAATACTTTGGTCGTGCGACAGGAATGCTCCCTACCACCTAGGCTTCCGCGCAGTCACATTCGCCCTCGCCACGGGCAACACCGCCATTCTCAAAGGCCCAGAACTATCACCGCGGTGTTACTGGGCTATTACAGATGTCTTCAGAGAAGCTGGGTTGCCAGATGGAGTGCTCAATCTCCTGTTCCATCGACCTGCTGATGCGCCCAAGATTACTGAAACACTGGTTGCTCATCCGGCTGTGCGCAAAGTTAACTTTACCGGAAGCTCCCATGTCGGTAGTGTGATATCTTCTATTGCGGGGAAGCATCTCAAGCCAGTGCTTATGGAGTTGGGTGGCAAGGCAAGTGCCATTGTCCTCAAAGACGCTGATCTCAGTAATGCCGCAGAGCAATGCGCACTGGGTGCTTTCTTGAATGTAAGTAACACTGTTATGCATAATCTCAGTTACTTGACTGTTTCTGACCTTTTTTTTGCAACAGGCTGGACAGATATGCATGTCTACCGAACGCATCCTCGTCCACTCGTCCGTCGCGGATGCTTTCAAGGAGCAACTCAAGCAAGCCATCAACAAGACCTTTGGTGCTGCAGACAACTGCCCAGTCGTCATTACCAACACCTCAGCAAAGAAGAACAGAATACTTGTACAAGATGCACTGGACAAGGGCGCCAATCTTGTTTACGGTAATCCTGCCGTAGTCGACACCAGCGTCGAATCGAAAATGTCTCCAGTCGTCCTCGGCAACGTTACTCCAGACATGGATATCTATGGCACAGAGTCATTCGGTCCAAGCGTATCGCTATACACCTTTGACACTGAGGAAGAAGCAATCGCACTGGGTAATGATACAGAGTATGGACTGGCTGGTGCCGTCTTCACGGAGGATTTGAAGGCTGGCCTTCGGGTTGCGAGGCAACTGAAGGTTGGAGCTGCTCACATCAATACAATGACCGTGCATGATGAGTTTGCTTTGCCGCATGGTGGGTTCAAGAAGAGCGGATTTGGAAGGTTTAACGGAAAGCAAGGACTAGAGGAGTTTGTGCAGTATAAGACTGTCACGTGGGTAGATAGCACACAGAAGTAGAAAATATAACATTTTGACCCTTTTGAGAATACAGTTCCATAAACTATATCCAACGATGATGTGAGATTCAACTTTCTTTCTCTGGTCCCCGTTCGATACTATCGCACCTGGAAGCACTTCGTTCAGTGGATGTGAAGTCTGTGCTTCGTATCGCCACTGTGGGTGAAGGTAAGGCCCGACCTCCACATTACCAACCCGCCAGACCACGCGTCGAGAAGGTCTACAAGGGAGCCTAGAACTCTAGCCACATGTAAGCAGTAACGCTGTCATTTATCATCAAATGCGGGGGTGGCTTCAATTAGTACCAGACGATCCGTACTATCAAGGGAGATTGCCCGGGAAAAGCCTAAGAGTCGGTCCATTTGCTCTACTTAGTCCCCGTGTCCGGGCCGTTTTCTGGACAGTCCTTCAACAGGCCCTGCAACCCTTGTTTCCGCTTGTGTACTGTGTCCGGTCACAGACGACGGAACATATAGGGGTCTCTATCAAAGAAACAAATGCTTGATTACTCAGACTACTTTGCTAAAAAATAAAATGCGAATTCCTTATCATACTATTCAGTCACTATTCGTGCTCCCTTCTATTAGCAACTCTCTGTGAGTCTGTGCGGTTTTATGCTATAGAGCTTTATGCTGTTAACAATTTCTCGCGATGCTTAACAACTTGTTCTATAGAGCATAAGCGTAAAACAACGGAGAACTTGTCTTTTTTTAGTGGTAAAACACTATTAAATCTAGACTAGCATACTCTGAGCTGACTGCATAATAACCGTGATGCACCTGATATTAAATCCCAGCATGTTCCGTCGTATGTGACAAGGTACAGTACTGTCTATACGCGACCCATTTGTTGACGCCTGTTGAGTGGTTTCCGGAGTCGAGAACCAGCTGCGTATCTATGTCGGACCCCACGCACAAACCCCAGTTTTTCAAGGGCTCATGGGCCTGCCACATCATCTGTCGCAGGACTGACTCAAGATACCTTGATAAGCTCTGCCTCTTTTGGATAGGCTAAGCGCTTGTTCGGAACGACCGCCTTTAGCTCCATCACGTGTTTTGCAACCTCCACTCCCTATAACCGAGTCGCTGGTCAGCACCACGGTCTCCTCTGCTTTCACAAACTCCCTCAATTGGCTGAGGTGACTGTGTGGTTCTTGCTTGTGCCGATATGCAGACACCACCACGTGCTTCGACTGAAAACTCGGCTTCAAGGCTGAAGCTGTATCCCACAAACCCTAACAACAAGGAGGCCATGATGGAGCTCAAGAATGGTGATGACCATGGCGTCGGCGAGGTTTCGACGCTCGACATGCAGGCAGGTCATGCCGAGGTGAGTTACTGCCAGTGGCATCGAATTATTGCGAACTGGATTGCTGATTTCCGCAGCCGCCGAAAGTGTACGGATTCTTTTCCATGATGGCACTTGCAGTGTCTCTGATGGCGACGTGGGAGGCGCTTTGCAGTACAATGGGATCTGGCCTGGTTAGCGGCGGGCCAGTGTCTCTTGTCTATGGATTCATCGGTACGCTTTTCGGAAACTGCACCAAAAGTTCAATGCTAACAATTTTGTGCAGTGTCCTTTGCTGGAAACATGTTGACCAGTATGTCGTTGGCCGAGGCTGCAGCCATGTAAGTAGCATTGGTGCCACACTATTCTAGCGTCATTGACAATTTTCCCTTCAGGTTTCCTTCCGCAGGCGGCCAATATCAGTTCGTTGCCGAACTCAGCCCGCCATCAATCAGGCCCGCCTTGAGTTGGTACTGTGGATGGCTCACAGTTCTGGGATGGCACTCTTTTACAGCGTCTGCTCCATTTGGAGCAGCCAATCTCACCTTGGGCTTGATTTCGCTCTCTCATCCCGATTTTGTGTCCAAGCCATGGCACAATAGTTGCATCTATTGGGGAATTACCCTGATAGCACTTGCATTCAACATGTGGGGCAACCGTATCTTACCGTACATTCAGAACGCCATTCTCGCCTTCCACGTAGGTTTCTTTGTTATCATTTTTATTGTCATGCTGGCTTTGAAGCCAGAAGCGAACAGCGCGAAATTCGTCTTCAGCGAGTTCCGCAACAGCACGGGTTGGAGCTCCGATGGCGTCGCTTGGTTTCTCGGAATGCTCACCTCTTGCTATGTCATGATAGGTATGCACCCTGACCACTTTCGCAATATCTTGGTTGCTAACTCATACATGTAAAGGCTACGACTCAGCAACTCACATGTCGGAAGAAATCCCCAACCCCGACCGCAACATCCCCAAAGCCATGCTTCTCTCCATCGCCGTCAACGGTACTATGGGTTTCGCTATCCTCATCCCTGTCCTTTTCTTCATGGGCAACCTCGACGCAGCTCTCGCCTCTGGCCCCTTTCCCATCATCCACATCTTCACCCGCATCACAGGCGGCAACACCGCCGCCACCAGCGCAATGACCTCGACCATCATCATCTCGGCCTCCTTGGCCACCTTCGGCCTTTTAACCGCGACGTCCCGCATCCTCTGGGCGTTTGCTCGCGACGGCGGAACCCCGTTTTCCACGGCGTTGGGCCGCCTGGGAAGTAGCAGCCAGATTCCCGTGACATCGCTATTGGTGTCCACGGCCGTTATCGTCCTATTGGGCGCGCTGCAAATTGCGTCGTCGACTGCCTTCGCTGCTATCCTCTCCCTCACCGTCATCGGGCTCAACCTCTCCTATCTCATGCCCATCGTTCTACTACTCTACCGCCGCATCGCGACGCCACAGATGCTCATGTACGGGCCGTTCAAGCTGGGAAAAGCAGGTATCCTAGTGAACATCTTGTCGATTATTTTTCTGGTGTTCACCAGTGTGTTTTTGCTATTCCCCACGGCGCAGCCCGTCACGCCCAAGAATATGAATTATGCGAGTACGGTGCTGGGTGGCTTGTTGATCCTCGTTACGGTGGATTATGTATTTAGGTCCAAGAAGAGGTATACGGGCCCGACGCTTGTTTTGCAGGGTATGTCGGTGCGGGAGGAGTGAGAGATTGTATCTTTGAGAGGATGTTTCTAGTATATCGTCATTATTTTGGGATGGACTTGATGCTGTTGGGCTTACATACTTTGGATAGGGGTTGTTAATGTATTGTCATGATGTTTGCCGCATTTGTGGAGAGGCATCTCCTTGAACACCATTTCAAGATCAGCCTTATCTTCTATGACCTCGTAAGACGCCTTTTGCCAGAGCAAACATACATCCTTGGGTATCCGGGATGTTGGATGGCCCTCTCGACCAAGTCAACAAGGACTCGTGAAGCACGATACATGAGTAACAACGAGGGACAAATACATCGACATCATGCAAATCAGCATGAGAGCAACATGACAAGAGAAGAGTCAAATTCAAATAACTAACCACACCAAGAAACCCACCTACAATCTCGGCTTCATCGCAATCGCCACAGTCTTGGGCTCCAAGTAAGCCATCAACCCCAGCCTCCCACCCTCCCTGCCATAGCCACTCTCCTTGGCTCCTCCAAAAGGCGTATACGCTGACGGTTGAATCGGCATATTAATCCCCACAAACCCGCACTCAAGGTCCGATGATAGCCTCAGTGCACGCGGCACATCCTTTGTGAAGAGCGCCGCACCAAGCCCGTAGGCGGAGTCATTAGCCATATCTATGGCCTCTGCTTCAGACTTGAATGTCTTGATGACTAGTACGGGTCCAAAGATCTCGTCGCGGTACAGGGTGCTCGAGGATGGCGGGTCGAGGATGATGGTTGGCTGGATGAATTGGTTCTGGGGCCCTTGGGACTGGCCGCCTGCTAGGATGTTGAGGTTCTCGCTGCGAGCGGCGTCGATGAAGGAGGTGACGCGCTCGCGTTGCATGCGGTCTGCAATGGGGCCTAGGAAGGTGTTTGGGTCGCTGGGATCTCCGAGGGCGTTTGCGAAGCCCTGGAAGCGCGTCTTGAGCTCTGCGACAAAGGACTCGGCAATCGTGTCCTGGACGAGGAGGCGCGAAGTCGCGGCGCAGACTTGACCGCAGTTGAGCAGGAAAGTCTGCGACATGTGTGTGAGGGCCTCGTCGATGTCTGCGTCGTCGAAGACAATGGCGGCGGATTTTCCGCCGAGTTCGAGCGTCACGCGCTTGAGGTTGCTGTTTGCAGCCGCGATTTGGATTTTGCGACCTGTCAGAGTGGATCCTGTAAAGCTGATTTTGCGAATCTTTTGGTGAGAAGCGAGAAGGCCGCCGGTTTGGCCAAAGCCGGTAATGAGGTTTATGACGCCAGGCGGGAAGCCTGCGCGGCGGACCAGCTCGGCGAAACGAAGGGCACCGAGAGGTGCTTTCTCTGAGCTTTTGAAGATGAAGGTGTTGCCGGCTGCTACGGCTGGAGCGATCTTCCAGCAGAGGTAGAAGAGGGTGGCATTCCAGGAAGCGATGCCGGCACATACACCTAATGGCTCATAGCGAACCATTCTGTACGAGCCGTCGAGGTCTTCAACAGATTCTCCGCCGAGTTTGTCAGTCCAGCCAGCGTAGTAACGCCACCACGTTGGCATTGAGGATGCAATCCATCTGGTAGCTGAGATTGGGGCACCCATTGCAGCTGTCTCAAGCTCAGCAAGCCAGTCCAGATTCTCCTCAATCAAGTCGGCTAGTTTGAGCATGTACTTTGCACGCTCGGGGGCGGGCGTCCTGCGCCAGTGCTTGAATGCAGCATGAGCTGCGTCGACGGCGTCGTTGACGTCTTGCTCGCCAGCAATCTGTACATTTTCTGCGACGATGGAATCATCGTAGGATTGTCTGACGGTAAACGACTCTCCAGAACGAGCATTCCGGAACTGGTATCGCGCGATTAGATATGTCTAGATATTGCTACGATGATGATGCATACCTCATTGTTGATGAAGAGCCTGGTTTCGATGGATGCAGCCATGATTTCGAAGTGGAGGAAAATAGAATGATGTCACTGGTGTGTATTTGGTATATTGTCTAGATGTCAACAAACCATGCCTTTGATCTGACTTATTTTGTCGCGTCAAAAGAGACTGGACATTTCCAGTCTCATCCATGCTTCACGGCTACCAAATCCAGACTCTCGATTGAATGCACCAATAACAGCAACCCTGCTAATCATCCAGGCTAGGCCGAACTCACCACAACGGTTGGCGGCGGCGGAATCCGTCTGTTTCGGAGCTTCCGATATTGTCGGCGGCTTGGCCACAGTTGCAGGGTCGGTTCGGTTCCGTGTCAGTTATTCGGCTGCTGACTAGACTGAGAGCTCCGGCAGGAAAACGGACATGGAAATGGCTTTGTGTTCGGTAAAACGGTGTTGTGACTTCGATCTCATTTTCAAAACTCGGTTTCGTGATCCCACGGGTGATCAGAATATGGGCGAGATGAGATGAGATGGAGCTCCAACCGAACAGCCCCCTGTTGAAGTTCTAAACCCAAAAAGGTAATTAGATGAGACGGAATACGGAGCAACCGAACAGACGCTCAATAATGGCCATGGCGCATATTCCTACAGGGAGCATGCCGGCGGAAAAGTGGGGGTTCAGGGCAATTCCCCGTTTACGCGGTATTCCTTCCGCACAATTCTTCGCGGAAGCTGTCCGCACCTCGCTTGCTCCAGTGCTGAGGAAGCGATTGCGGACATGCCCAACCATGCAGGTATGTGAAGGGCGGAGTTTTCCAATAACACCTGCCCTCTTTGTCGGGCAGGCTTACTGGTACTACTGAGCCTGATTCGAAATTGGTCATGGGCTTCACACAAGCCTGTCGCTAGCTGGCCAAGTACTATTGACAAAGCTTGTCGTGCTGTCTTGAAGAGTTGGGTCCTCACTGCATTGCACCCTAGTCTCGATACTTCAATTTAATCATTATCTATCATGCATGGGTTTCTGTAGGTAATGGAATAATAGTGCAAGAAAAGAAATTGATTCTGTGCTCGCACATTGTTGCAAGAGCCATGTCTGACTGTTAACGTGCTTGTCGAGTGACTGATACCATTTAGGTAAAGCTGATATTGAGTAATGCGAACAAAATCTACAGTCATAGCTCTCCATGTCAGGGATTCAAGTTTACGACGCACATAGAAACTATTGATTCGACAAGAATGATAACACATTCATTTCTTGGAGTGAAAGCTCACCCACGTCTTCCAAATACCTGGCCAACTAGACTCTGTGTACAATTGATTATTTCGCCTTTGAGAACTCTATGGAAGAATCAGGGAAAAGGAAACCAAGTATCTGTCCCCATCCGCCATTACCGCCTACAACGAAGGCTTGTTAAGGAGCTTGTTGATCTTTTCGTTTGTTTTGATAAAACTCTTGTAGTTGGGAAACATGTCATTGGGGTCCCATTTGGCTCGGATCTGGAGGAACTTGGCGAGTGCCGTGTCAGACATAGGTTTACTCTATTTATATCGTCAGTCCGACCATGGCAGCAGTGAGGTGGGCTTTGGACCCGGCTTACATTTGCATCTTCAACATTTGGATCGTAGTCTGCAGGATATGTGCCGCATGCGACCGGCAGGGCGCGCTTGTATCGGTCGAGCATCCGTTGCTTGATCGCAGGGCCCTTTTTCTGGTCGAGCCAGCCTGTGACGGTAGAAATGTAGTACTTTTGTGGGATGCTCAGAGAAGCGACCTTCTCGTTGGCAACGATATCGCAAATGCAGATGAACACCGAGGTGATGCGCGTTTCGAGTTCAGTGAGAGCGGGCTTAAAGGCTTCAATGAGCTAAGAATTGTCAGTGACGATCTTTTATCTTGTCCATGCTACAAGACTTACCCGTGGAATGGGAACGGTTGGCTCGCTGAGTAGACTGAGAATCTGCCAGTTCTCGCCGTACTTGTTCCCAATGAATTCACGCTTCTTGTCGAATATGTCGGCGAATTCTCGTTTTGAAACAGGGCGCATATCAACCAAGCAGTCCTTGACACTCTCCGGAACATCGTCGTAAGCACTCAGTAGGGTTCGAGCTTCCCGTTCAGTGTCAGAATAGCAAAGAAGACTGAGACCAAGGTGTAGCTGGGACGTCTTGGGTATGTCATCCGTGAGTATCGAAGTGTCGTACTTTTCCGGATAGAAAATGGTGAGATTGAGATCGGTGCCATACTTGGGGGTCTCTTCGGCTTTTTCGAAGAACCATGTCATCAACGTCTCGTACTTGTCACGGAGTTGAAAGGTAAAAGTGCGTTCCCAGAGCTGGGAGCTTGGGATCGTACGGGCCCAGAATTTGGTTACGACACCAAAAAAGCCCAAGCCGCTGCCTCTGGCGGCCCAAAACAGGTCAGTGTTCTCAGTAGGGCTCGCAATGACAACGCGGCCGTCGGGAACGACAATCTCCATCTGAGTGATCCATTCCTGGCATGTGGCTCCCCAACCTCGCACGAACCAGCCTTGTCCTCCGGCCAACAAGAAGCCTGCGGCGCCGACAGTAGGCGCATGGCCGTGAGGAAAGAAGCGCTTGACCTCCTTAAGCTTTGCTGCGACTTCCTCTACACGTACAGCAGGACCAAATGAGATCTCACGGGAGTCGGGATCATAATCAACGTAGCGGTTCAAGCTAGAAGTGTCGATGAGTATGCCGTCCTGAATCAGTGCGCTCAGGGGGAAGGCATGGCCGGAGCCACGAATACCGACGGTCACACCAAGTTCAGTGGCTCGCTTGAGAGCTGCCGAGACTTGTTTAGGCGACTTGACGACATGAATTTCGCGAGGATAGCGGTCTGGTGTTGTTGCACTTGGGTTATTGCGACGACAGCGATCGTATTCTGGAGTGCCCCGGACAAGAACGTCAGCAGAGAAGCTGGGGCGTGTGTCGTAGGTGTACAAGGCCATGGTATAGACGAGGGGGGGTGCACTAGGTGGGTAGAGAAGACGGGATGCGGTGGTGTGCAATGACTTCCAGAACGGCCCTGACTGGCTTTAAGAAATGCTGTCAAGGCTGTTGTGGGCCCGACGTCGACAGGGCGATAGTTGTGCCATTTCCGCAGTCAAGACGCCGTCACGTGCCGGACGGCGGGATGGGGTGAATGCAATGGGGGGTAGATTTGCACAGGCCAGACGCTCTCCGGCGGCCATGATCCGGCATAGCTCCGAACATATCTTGGCCCGTGCGCAAGTGAAGGGATTTGGGCACGTGACCGACTAGTGTACTGTACAGTCCAAGTACATTCCACTACTTACTTGGACTACGTGACTACTGACACCAAGTACGCTAGATAGCGACCCTATCCTACCCTACCCTACCCTGTCTCCGGTGCCTTCTCGGCACTAACCCCGCGCGGCTCACCCCCGCACGCCTCAAACACAAGCAAAAGCCTCACCCTGACCGGTGCATGCGTCCAGTGCAGCTTGGCTCTATCATGGCGATAAGCAGCAGGTGTGGAGGAGGCCCGATTGTTATCTCTCCAGTCTCGAGACCAACCCAAACGCATCCCCCAAAAGACGCCATTCTGCTGTCCGCAATCCAGTACAATGAGCCCGTCGCCGCCAAAACGCCCCTCGACCGCCATGGAGCAACAGAACGCAGCCGGGACGTCCCGCAAACGTCGCCTTCGATACGTATGGCGAGCCTGCGATGTGTGCCGGCGACGCAAGGGCAGATGCGACGGCCGTAAGCCTTGCGACTTCTGTCGCTCGCGTGCGTTGGAGTGTCGCTACACCGCCGACTCAGAACCCACAAACGAGCCTTTGCAGCCAGAGGATCCTGCTGTGTCTTACTCTGCCGTTGCTGCCCCTCCCATGTTGCCAGCCAATGCGTTGGGGGTGAACGCGTATGTTCCCTTCGTGCTCGCCTCCAAGATGCCCTTGCCACTAACCCATCACGCTCTTTAGCAAGGGCGAGTCCATTTCTCGTGTCGTACTTGCGCTGCAGGCACAGCTCGACAGTCTCGTCACACACATGGAGTTGTCCAACGAATTGCACACTTCACCAGTGGTTGCAATAGATCCCGCCCTTCCCCGACAGAGCGCCCTTCCCCGGCAGAACACGGCCCTCGAAGGTTTGCCCTCTGCCATGCCACCTTCCGGGGATGCTCAGACCAACGCGAACCCAACATCGATACCTAACGCCCCCACAGTAGCCGCTCCCGCCGCAAATACGTCGAAGCCATCCACTCGTCGCTTCTACGGCCCGACGAGTCCTGACTATAGTCTCAATGCTGCTGCAATCAAGCTGCGACTGGCCCAGGCGCCTCCTGGTGGCCCTACCATCCCAGAAGAGACCAACCCTAGCCTGGAAGATGACCAGACCGACGATGACGAGCGCATTATGATCCAAGATGAAGGCCATGGATCTGGCGTTCAAGAGCGCCTTGCTAAAACTAGGCTACGCCAATGCCTGGCTCAATTACCATGGCTCATTGCCAAAAACGACGCTCTGCGCCTCTTGACTGTGTACCACAACGTCATTGGCCGCCTTCATCCCATTCTCGATCCAAAGCGGCTCGTCGAGCAGGCCGAGGCCTGCTATTTGTTCCATTCAAAACCCACGTCTGATGCCTCAATTCTTCACGAAGACACCATTCTGATATTATATCTGGCGCTCTCGATTGCGCTTGCTGCCGAGCCAGCCTCGCAGTCGCATGTGGGGAAAACTCTGTATAAAGGTGTGGAACACCTGGTCAAGCTGAAATTAGCATCTGAAGTGTCAAGTCTAGATCATGTTCTGATAGCGTTACTAGCGGTAAGTCTTCCATCCTGCTCAGCACGTTAGACACTCACTAACATGATGGAATCCCGAGTAGTCTATTTACCACTTCTTTACTGGTGACACGCGTTTGGCATGGCGAGTGTGCGGCATTTCGGGGCGCATGGCAATGGAACTTGGCCTCCACCGCCGAGACGTCCATTGCCATCTTTTGCGAGACGAAAAGCAACGCACTGGAATTAGTGCTATCATCTGGAGCATAGTCATCTTGGACAGGCAATGGAGTGCCGCTACTGGCTTGCCTCAAAACTTTCAGGAATCGGATTTTGATCAATCCATAGAGCCTCCGGTGAGTTATCTCATCTCTAAAGACCCAAACGTGATGTTGGGATTGCCCCAAGGCCAATTTTTTTTTTGCTGACTTGAGGAATACCAGGAGGACGCATGGTACCTTCGAGCGATGATCTCATACACATTCATGAGCCCGAAGTTCGAAGTACCCATACACCGAGTCGCTGCCGGTGCAACTTATGAACAGGATGACGCTTTCGAACTACTCAATTTCCAGATTGACCAATGGCTGAAAAAGGCCATAGACGGTCATGGTATCTACCATCCATCTCCTGAGACAGCCGTCGGTGTAAAGCCAACGGTAGACCCTTCAAAACGCCCGTCACCCGTGGCCACATTGCTCTATCTGCGTGCCAATGCCTTCCGTAGTATCATCCTTCGCCCGTTTTTTCTTTCAGGCTCCCACTCTAACGTCAGCGTCAAAATGATCAAACCGAGTATGAACATCATCTCCGACACCATCGGTGTACTCACTTTGCTGAACTCCAGCACCGACGTCTACAAAACCCAGAATCCATTCTTTCAGCATTTCCTCAGCTCTTCGTGTGCACTTCTTTTCTTAGTGGTGGCTTACGTTCGCGCGGACCGCAATCGGGCGGTCATCATGCAGTCTGCCGATTTGCTGGAGCCTTTTCCGGGCTTTGTAAAGCGGGAGGTGGAACGTGCATTGGCTCTCGCTACAGCGCAGAGTACACCGTCGCAGAGTTCGTGCAGACTTGCGAAGAGGCTGCGTCATATGGAAGAGCAACTAGCTCGGCCTGACTTTCTCCAACCTCCTCCAATCGAAACCGTCCCTGATCGAAATCTGCAACCGCTGCAAAATCAGCAACAAAGACCTCAGATTCAAAGAGGGTTGGCTGAGAAGGGAGATACCATCGGCGGTGCTATGGGTACCTTCCTGGACCAGGCAGAATTTTTGCAAGTCGGGGATGATAATATGGGAGACGACACAATGAATGGTATGTGGTGGAACGATATTGATATGTTTTGGCCAGATTGGCCCAGCAACGAGGTTGCGAGTCATTGTGTATGAATAGTTATTACCCTATACAAATTGAGCAGATGCCTCGAATTCCCGGGTTACGGCTGATTCAAACTTGGACATGATGTGATCCCCCGATACCAAACTGCATTTCTCTTCAACCAGCTATGCGTTCTTGTTGCGGACCTGGAAGCCAAGCATGACATTTGAGGTGACCGCATCTTTATTTCGTAACTTTTGTGCAGTTTCGACCCCTGTAATGGGCAATTTGTACTCGAGTTTGTTTCCGTCCTGGTTCTGCCCGCTTGGCAGAGCGTACGGTATAGGCAAGTACTCTGGCAGTAACCCCAGCTGAGCCAGCACAGTACCCTGATCCCAGGCTATGTGTTCGTGGTAAAGACGGTCGCCTCTAATGTTGACAACTGCCATGAAGGGAATTTCAAGTTTGCGACCTGTCGGAGGGATACCGGGTATTCTACACTTTGTCAGCGCTGCAATAATCACGTTTTGAGACGGGCGACATCTCACAGCCAGTCCAACGGCGCATCATGTGTGCACTTGAAAATGAACTCATCGATGACGCGATCGATTCCCATGGAACGACTAATCAACTCCGTCTCGATATCCTTGGGATTCGAGTAGACGAAATGGTTCGTATAGAAATCTGTAAGGGCTTCTCGTCCAATGCCACCCGTGAGCTGTGAAGGTCAGCGATGCGTCGAAACATGGGCAATCGAAACGTACTGTAGGCACATGATTGACATATGGCTCCTGCACCATTGTCGCCATTGTCTGCGGCACTGACCGATTTTCAAACTCCCAGTACGTATGCTCGTCCCAAATGGCCTCGAGATCGAACCACGGGCCATTCATGCGCGGTTTGAGAAATGAAAGATTCCGTGTGTGGGACACTGACTCCATGTTGTAATCAAATTCTGGCTGGAAGGGCGTAGCAAAGAGATGGGACTTTGCATTGGGGTAATCGTGGACGACACGAGTTTCGGTCCGAGGCGGCTTGCGCATCTTGCCCGCCATGTGTTGCAGGACGGGGACCGAGGTCATGGCGAGCTTGTGGTGCTCTGCTGCATCTGCGTAGACGACGGCGCCGACGATTGATGGGTGTGATGTTAGATATGGTGCTGCACGGTTCCAGAGCTTCAGATCGTATGCTGCCATCCAAATTACCAACGCAATGCGCAGACAGGGACTTGGGGTAACACACCGATGACGCCAATTGCATTCTTCGGCTCACACTTGTCTGCCTTGGATAGCTCTGAGACGGCCAGACTTATTGGGTCCTTGCCCTCGAGGAAGGCTTCTTCAAGAAGCTCGACAACTGTGTAACTCTCTTCTCCCCATTTCATGAGCGGTGATGGAACACCATTTTCGATGCGCAGAGTCGTGTCATTTGTAGCTCCTGACTGATTCACGATTACAATGAGTCCAGGCCCTGAACCTTTGCGAGATAATGGCTGAGAAAGTATCACACCAGGAGCAAGACGCGTTAAAGAAGGGACGGGGAGAGGAAGAGGAGTTTGGTCAGCGTCGGCCATGGCAGTGTAGCGAAATGGAGCAATGGAATTTATGGAGTAAGAGTCAAAAGTGTATCAGGCCACAGCTGGTGATGTTTTAATGAGATTTCTGCTGAAATAAGGTTTGGTGGCTACCGACATTATATGAGCAGCTCAATTCTAGCTCAGCCCTACTACGGCCACGGGCCTATGGGGCGGAAGTAGGTGGAGTGCCGCAGCGGAAGGCTCAAAGCACCAGATTGACACGTGCGAGTACATTCCTTCTGGAACCAAATTTCCATGATAGCCTACGGAAGGGTTTCAGCCGCCCGGTGTTGGAATCCATCACGTCACGTCCTAGTGACTTAAATGACTTGCATCTCACGGATTGGCCGCGGATACCGTAAGTGGTACGTACCGGACGGGCCAATGCCCGCTCCACCCCACCAACCACCACCAACACCACCCACCCGCCCGATCACACCGCAACCACCGCAAATGAAGCTTCTCGACTCTGCCATTTCAGTCATCGCTGTTTCAAACCCTAGCGAAAAACTTGTATACACCTAGATCGCCGAAAGTTCCAGTGTCAATGAAAGAACGCTCGCACGCTAAGACTATGGTAAAATAGCTACACGCTACGTTAAGGCTCAAAACGATGAAGCTCTCCGCCCACAACAAGCGATCGATCTGATAAGATATACAGATAAACTCAGTGTACGCTGCCTCGTACCTAATTCAGGTTTTATCTACAAATTGGCTTTGAATGTTGTAAAAAAAAATTACTTACTACTAAGTTAATTACTTGTATCCGGCAAAGTTGTGGCCATGATACCAAATGACTAGCCAAATACTAAGAGACCAATTCGATGGCTGACATTTTTCAATCATATCTCTCAGAAATCTCATGATGAAAGCTTTTCAATGAAGCTCTACCACCTCGTGTTTGTGGTGGTTTTGGTGGGGCAAATTGGGCATTGGCCTGTAGGGTATGGCATTCAGGCACGGCATTCAAATATAGGAATCACAGCACATGAGCCGTTGATTCTCGAAAACGTTTGATTGCAAAAATGTACAGGTATCTATCGTAAAGCTCAATGTCCCCAACCATCACTTCTTCTTCTTCCAATCACAGCCATTCCACCTCTCAAACCCGTCGGTATGAATGCCAAAATTATCCAACATTCTCCCAACACTCTGCTCCACCATCTCCTCCAAGCTCTTGGGCCGCGTATAAAACGCGGGCATGGGCGGGAAAACCACAGCCCCCATCTTCCTCACTGCCAACAGATTCTCGAGGTGGATATCGCTCAGTGGTGTCTCGCGCGGCACCAACATCAGTGTCCGGCGCTCCTTCAACGTCACATCAGCAGCGCGCGAGATCAAATCGTCGCAAAAACCTATGCGCACAGCAGCGAGCGTCTTCATGCTACAGGGCACTATGATCATGCCGTCGTGCAGGAAGGATCCACTGGCAATTGGGGCCGTCATGTCGCGCGCAGTGTAGACTCTGGAGGCGAGGGAATGGATTTCGGCTTCTGTCCTGTCGGTCTCGTATTTGAGGGTTGTATGGGCCCATTTGCTCATTATGAGGTGCGTTTCTATGGAGAGGTCACGTAGGATTTCGAGGAGGCGCACGGCGTAGATGGTGCCTGTTGCGCCGGTTATGCCGATTACAATGCGTTTTGGGCGACATGGTTGTTCGGGTTTTGGGGATTGGTAAGGAATCGCAGTCGAAAAGGCGTGGTGGTGTTGAGCGACTGGGCGAATGGTGATGCGGTTGTAGATTTGGAATGCACCTGTCAATTGGCGACTGACGCGGCAAGGGCGAGGGCGAGGGCAGAGCATGAGCATGTTGGAGGTGCGGCGTGAGTGGCCAGCCCCATGCCCAACATGTTACTATCATTACTCGTACCTACACTAGTCCTGTCTGTCTATGCTGTCAAGGGTCCATCCTCCCGTGTTGCTGCATGTGCATGCTTCCTCCGCCCGGCACTAACGGCTTTTGCACAACGGAATGGGCGACGGAAGTTCCGAAGCCTGCCCCTGGACCATTCCGCCGCCGACGGAATGCTATCTCGGAACGTTCCTAAACCCCACGCTACGGCAACCCTAACCCTGTCCCCGCAGATAGACGCCCGTGTGCGTGGCTTGCCGAGCGCCTAGCGGCGGTTCGCTGGCGGATCGGGGACAGGGGTTCCTTGCTCGATTTCTGGGGAAGCTGCAGAGGGAAGAGCGAGCACCTCAGCAGCGAGTCCAGTCCAGTGCGTGTGTGTGCCACCCTAGCTCCCATCTGCACATCGTCATCAATAGAGACAAATGTTGTCGAGAGTACGCCTATGCAACCCTCGAAGCTTTCGAGCGGCTACGATACACCATCATCGACGTCTCATGGCTACTACTGCTGCTACACAGAGCACACCCAGTGCGCCTCCTACGAGCGAAAGTCTGAGCGCACCACACGACTTTCGAGCCTTTCTCGACGTATTGCGCGCGGACAATGACCTAGTTGAAATCAACACCGAGGTCGATCCACATCTCGAGGTTGGGGCAACCGCGCGTCGTGTCAGTGAAACTGACGGAAAAGCTCCCTTGTTCAACAATGTCAAAGGCGCGCGCAACGGCCTATGGCGCATCTTCAGCAACGCGGCCGGGCTGAGAAAGAATGAGAATGAGAGGTTCGGTCGCGTCGCCAGAAACCTTGGACTCCCCAAGGACGCCACCTGGAAGCAAATCTGCCACCGGAGTCAGGAGGGCAAGAATAAGGCTCCAATACCTCCTAATGTCGTGCCGACGGGGCCGTGCCAGCAGAATCAGATCCTCGGCGATGCCATCGACCTCGAAGCTCTTCCAGTACCCTTTCTGCACCAGCATGACGGCGGAAAGTTTCTCCAGACGTATGGTGTCCATATGCTACAGACCCCTGACGGATCGTGGACCAATTGGTCCATTTTTCGTGCCCAGGTTTACGACAAAAAACACCTGGTTGCCCTCATCAACCCGGGACAGCACAATCACATGGTCATGGAACAGTGGAGGAAGTTGGGCAAGGACGTGCCATGGGCGCTTGCGTTTGGCGTGCCTCCTGCCGCGACCATGGCAGCAGCATGCCCTCTTCCCGAGGGCGTGAGTGAGGCTGAGTACGTTGGTGCCATGTTGGGACGGCCGCTTGACCTGGTCAAGTGCCAGACGAATGATCTTCTCGTGCCTGCCAATAGCGAAATCGTGCTTGAAGGTACACTTTCGACTACCAAGATGGGCGATGAAGGGCCCTTTGGTGATTATCTGGCACATCAATTCGACGACGAGCGACGGCCAGGCTCCCTCCTCAAAGTCGACGCCATAACATACCGCGACGACGCCATCCTGCCCATCTCCGTCCCAGGCCGCATCGTCGATGAATCCGTAAGCCTACCATCCCTTCACACTCTTCAAACCCACTGACACGTACCCAGCACACCACCGCGTCCCTCGCCTCGGCTGAAATGGTCACTCTATGCCAATCCCACAGTCTACCCATAATTGATGCCTACTGCCCCCTCGAGACAATGGGAACCTGGTGCGCGCTGCAAGTCTCCCTCCCGCAGCTCGCCCTCCTGAAAACCGACGCCGAATCCTTCAGCCGCCAAATCGGAAACCTCATCTTCTCCTCCAAAGCCTCGATGCTCATCAACCGCGTCTTCCTCATCGGCGACGACATTGATGTCTACAATTTCAAAGACATCATTTGGGCAGTCAGCACGAGGGCGCGACCGGGATTGGACGATTTCCCATTTGAAGATGTGAGGGGGTTGCCGATAATGCCGTATATGTCGCATGGGAGAGGTGATCGGAAAAGGGGAGGCAAAATGGTGACGAATTGCTTGTTGCCGGCTGAGTATGAGGGGAGCAGAAATTGGATCCCGGTGGATTTTGAGAGTTCTTATCCGGAAGAAGTAAAGAAGAAGGTTAGGGAGATATGGAAGACGACAGCGATTGGAGAATAGATGAGATTTTCTTTTTTTTTGTCTTTTATACCAATTGCAGAACTCGGTGTATCAATTCTCTTATCATCGCATCCCTCACATTGCCAACGCCATCAGTTAGTCTTTCACACTTCTGAATATGAATCCGGGTTTTGCAATCGGTACAAGGGAATTTTTTTTTTTGCATTGAATCATCGATACTTGAAGATGCTGTGGTACATATGTTTCAATTCTACACAATAAAGCTACTTGCTTCCTACAGACTCGCCTTGTCCCAAGATCCCTTCAACCGCACCTCGAGCACAGCAAGAACCCCATTCTTCACAGACTCAATCGCTTGGGGCAGCAACTCATCCAACTCCTTGACGCTGCTCGCACATCCAGCCCAAGCGTTGTGTCCAGCCGCCGCCTTTGCAATACCAGAATAATCCGGTGTAGGCGCAAACGAAATTCCAATTCCCTCGTTATCAACCTCTGAGCCAACGCCATCAGGGTGCACGAGGAGAAGTGAATTGCGCGGAGCATTCCAACCTGCATCAACAATTAGCCCAGATCTTGTCCAAATTGGGACAAACATACCTTTGTTGCTCAAAACAATTGTCAACGTTGGAGTCGAATACTTCCTCGCAATCCAATAGACGGTACTCGGCACTCCAAACATCCACGTCCCATCCCCCACAATCTGACAAACAAACCCACCCTTGCCTGTTCCCCCCGCCAAATAATCTGACGCGAGCTTCACGCCGATACTGCCTCCTCCAGACCACCCCAAACCGCCTCCGCCGCCGTTGATCAAGCACCCCGGTGTATCTACCTGCAGCTGATTGCACGTCGGCAACGCATTCGTCACCGCCTCGGGACACCAAATCGTGTTCTCCGGGCACAACTTGCGCAGCTGCGATGCCAGGTACGGGGTATGCGCCGGCAAATCTCTATCCACGGGCGGCGCGGCAATAACTGCGAGGTTATCCAGACGGGCCTTGTGTTCCGCTACCATCTTCTCGCGACGAGAAAGATACGGTTCCTTTGCCAATACCGCGGGATACGTCGCGTGGCCAGAAATGTACTGTTGTATTTGCCTGAAACTCAATTCCGCATCGGCGCAGTACCGGTACTTTGCAGGGATGTAATGAAGTAACATATTCCGCTTCAGCGTGTCCACGTCGATATGCATGATGACTGCGTCGGGGCGCGGAGAGCATTGTGTAGGGATCCAGGGGACGTCGCAGTCTACGACGAGGATGACGTCTGCGGTGCGTATGCTCTCGTGCCCGCCGATTTGCAGGCCTAGAGACGCTGGGTGCGAATATGGGAAGCAGACGTCGCTGCCTAGGGCGTCGATGACGCGGAGACCGGGGACCGTATCTGCGAGGGCGACGAGGGCGCCGCACGAGGCGTGGTTGCGGCCCGAGTACCCAGTGATGACGAGGGGTTCTTTCGCTGTTACCAGGAGGTCGGAGATGGTTGCCACGCCGTCTTGAGCGAGGGGTTGGGGGGATACAGGGCCCCAGACGGTCTGGTCGAGTTTGTAGGGCGTAATTTCTTGCTCGAGAACTTCGCGGCCAGCGGTGAGGTAGACGGGGCCTTTTGGGTCAGACGTTGCGAATTGCAGGGCGCGATTCACCATTTGCTTTACGTTCGTGCCCGTCTTAATTTCGCCCGTGTAGCGGCAGAATTGTTGAACGATTTGTTTTTGGTCGGGGGCGTCTTGGAGCCAGTGAATGTATTCTGTGCGGGAGCCGCGCATTTCGCCTGGATTTTGTCAGCTGGGGGGGATTGGATTCAAAAAGAGAAGACACGAATGTTACCTTCGAGTGTGAAGGGTGAGAGACCGGCGAATATCAGTACTGGGACTCGTGCAACGGAGGCATTGTGTACAGCAGCACCGAGGCATTGGGTACCGACATCTACGTGCACGATGACGCACTGAGGTTTACCAGTAAGTCGAGCGAAGCCATCAGCCATTGACAGCGCAACGGTCTACAATGGAAGTCAGAGAAGTCCTTCGCCCAGGTCGCTGCGATTGCTCACCTCATGGGGGCACGTGACGACTTTGGGAAAGCTTCCAGTTGGATCTTTCTTTCCTCGTGCAATGGCTTCCATGATGCCAGGGTGGTCAGACCCCAGGTTAACGAAAACGTGAGAGATACCGGCCTGGAGCAATATTAGAATGTGACGATGATGAGGGAACATTGACTACACTTCGTACCTCCCATAATGCCTCGAAGAAGGCTGTCGCTGTGGTGTATTTCCTGGGCATAATCAGCACTGGGCTGAGCACTCATTCTGCTCAATGTACCAACATTTGACTCATGGTTGTGTTGATTCTCGAATTTTTCGAGAGGATACAGATTCAGAGAGCCCTCGTGTAACTCTTGAATACAAATATGAAGTCATATGCACATGGTACATACATGGCGCAGGGTCCACATGCTGCAACGCGTCTAGTGGTTCCGGCGCGCTTCGGAATACGCATTAGGCGTGACCGCACGACATTGAACCGCCGCATCAAACCGAGCTAGTAACAGTCCCTAGGCTCTATGTCAGATTGCACGGTAAGCCGTTTCCTTCCGCGGGGCTTGTGATTCGTCCGATGTCGGATTGGGTCTTGGAGTGGTGATTCTGGGGCTGCGGGGAAATTGAATTTGGTGGTTCCGAAGGGCGAGGTAGCAATCATGGGCAGTAGTAGTAGTAGATGCTCGAGATTGTGGCATGCAGCTGCGCGTGCCATTGAATTCGTGCAATGAGGAGGACATCTGCGGAGTGTGAGATTTGCGTATCATTATCGCATTTCGATTCTGAACGACAAGCCTTGATCAACTCTACGAATTTCGTGTTGGTGTTGCTCTTTAGTGGCCAAAAATGGACAAAAACCCACGTTTCGCTGCCCTACTCCATCACGTCTCGAATGGCATTGCGCATTTCAATATGATCAAATTCCTGTCACTTGTTGCTGCAAAATTTCAATCTGTCCATGAGGTGACTGCAATCATGTACTGTGACTAACTAGACTTGTTTCTATCTATTTGCTGTATTACTTGACTTTTTTTTTACCTTTATCTACTTTATAGCGTATCAGATCAATCATCCCAGGAATGAATGGTGGGCCGAACTTCAACCTGCCATAACCGGGTATCGAAAAAAGCCTTTGCAGTCAAATTAGAAAGATATGGCATTCATGTACTGCAACACGTAGACGCAACTGTCTTAGTGGCCCCTCCAAAAACTACTCATAAACGATCTTGTTCCTCGTCCTCCCGCAATGCTCCACCTCTACCTCCACAACGTCCCCATCCCTCAACCACTTGGGGCCCCCAGCCTGCCCAAACCCTACTCCTGATGGCGTCCCCGTCATAATCACAGTTCCCTTCTCTAGCGTCGTGCCCTGGCTCAAAAAGCTAATAATCGTGCGGACATCAAACAACAAATCGCTAGTGTTAGTCCTCTGCCTCTCCTCTCCATTAACCCACGTCCTCAACTCGAGATTGTCCGCAGCCCCAACCACAGCTGGCGACACCATCAACGGGCCAATAGGTGCGTACTTGTCAAAGCCCTTGCTGAAGCACCACTGCGGCACAACGCCAGCGTACGCAGGATCACGCTGCCATTTGCGGGAGCTGATGTCATTGGAAGATACGTACCCCGCGACGTAGTCGATGGCGTCGTCTTTGGAGATGTTCTTTCCCGTCTTGCCGATGACAATGGAGAGCTCGCCTTCGTAGTCTGCTTGGTCGTCTTGTGCGACTTTGGGGATGGGGACGGTCTCATCCCAGCCGGCGATTGACGTGTTGGCTTTTATGAAGAGGGAAGGGTAAGGGGGCGGTTTGCGGCCAGCCTCCGCGACTAGTTGAGGGTGATGAGATACATTGCGGATGAGTGTGGTATTGCAACTTATTGTAACTTACTGTGTGTTTTGTAGTTTAAGCCGATGCAGCGTACCGTGGGGACATCCTTTGGCTGGAGGAGATGGAGGATCTCTTTCACCTTGACGAATTTCCCGGTGCTTTTGACTTCAAAGGGGCTGGTGCCTTCGAGAATCTCTGCTTCCAAGCCAGCTTCCAATTTGGACATGAGATTGTGAGTATTTTCGAGTTGTGGCTCGCCATAATATTCAGCACCGTCCTCGCCCCGGAAGCGAATCAGTCGCTTCCAAGATGCTCCGGGAATGCCCATGACGAAAGATGATTGAGATGGAGAGGGATGACAAAAGCAATACTAAGCGGGGTAATGACAAACTTTGGTACATGTGTAGAAATGTCTCTCGGCATGTTTTATGTGCGATGATGTGCCACTGCTAGTCCTGGCTGCTGCGAAGCCCACGGAAACGAGCCGGACCTCGGGGGCTAACGTGCGGAGGCTCGTCACCCAATCGCCGTCGTCGTCGAACTAGGTCCGAGCATGCATGCCCTGACATGTGCAACACGATTCTGTTCCATCTTTTGTAAGCATACATGATAGAATTTGTACTCAGTCTCATGATTCGCCCGGTCTCGCACATCCCCGTTTGGTGGTAGTGCTTTCCGATGCGTCCAGAGCACAGAAGCTTCCGTCAGCAGGCGCGCATTCGTTCCGCAGGCTTGGAAACACGCGTTCATATGTCCAGCTATGTACAATTTGTAAAGTTTGTGGTCATGCGTATATAAATTCGAATTCGGTAGTCGACAATCCACAGCTTAGATGATCCTTCGTGCCCCAACCCACACTTCACTGACCATTTTTGACTACTACCTTGTTTAGATTAGCAACATGACTGAGGTCGCATCAAACACACAGGTCCCACATCTGAATGGTGGTGGTGACGGTGACTCCTCAGAGAAACTGCTTGCCGACATTCAAAAGCATGCTGTTTCACCACTCTGGACCCAGATGAAGAGGTTGAACCCTCCACTGCCCAACCCCCAAGCAATCCCTCATCTATGGAAGTACAAGGAGATCCGGCCAGACTTGCTGCGAGCCGGAAAGTTGGTGACAGAGAAGCAAGCTGAAAGGCGGGTATTGATGCTAGTAAATCCTAACAAGGGTATGTATGAACATGGCCGTACCTCAACCACCTCAGACCCCTCATGATGATAGTAATGAACCTCGACTCACCTCTTCCACAGAAGCACCATTCACCACCGACACCATCTACGCCGGCCTTCAACTCGTAATGCCCAACGAGACCGCCCCGGCCCATCGCCACACGGCCTTTGCTATGCGCTTCATCATCGAAGGCGAGGGCGGCTTCACCGCCGTCCACGGCCGCCGCGTAAACATGAAGCGCGGCGACGTTATTCTGACCCCAACATGGAACTGGCACGACCACGGAAAGGATGGGTCCGGCCCCATGATCTGGCTCGATGGACTCGATCTCCCCAACTTTGTGCATTTCCCCGTGCATTTTGTAGAGCATCACAGTGCGGCAAGGTATCCAGCCGAGAACGTGGATTCGAATGCTTCGCCCATTGTGTTTCCGTGGGAGAAGATGGTGCAGAACTTGAACAAGGCGCCGGGGAAGTGGGTCTCGTTGCCGTATCTCCAGGCTAATGGCACCGAGGGTGAGTGAGATGAGATTCTAAAAATCGTGATTGAAAGTCGGATCTAACATGTGTGATTTAGTGAGCAGAATACTCGGTGGCTCAGCAGAGCGGCTCGACGCGGGGGAAAGTTCTCCGCCAGTGCGGGAGACGGCTTCTTCGGTGTATCATGTTGTTGAGGGATCAGGGTACACAGAGGTAGAGGGTAAGAAGTTGACCTGGGAGCGTGGCGATACTTTCTGCATCCCATCATGGCATAAGTATCAGCACTTTGCTTCGGGTGAGCAGACGGCATATCTCTATCGCTTTGATGACAAGCCGATGCTGAAGGCATTGGGATTCTATCGCGTGGAAGGAAGTGATACAGAAGCTTTGGCTGCGTCGTGGACAGCTTTCTAGATTCACTGCTGTCGCAAATTCGCTGGACAGAGATGAAAGACGTTGAATCAATCACTTCTTTTGTCTTGGGTTTTTTGTCTTGGAAAAACTGTCATGTCTTTTTAGCAGAGCGACTTGGATCGTTTAGCGTTATGCCAAACACTTGAATTACAATGACCAAATTTCAGTTGTGAGAACAGCATCTTCACCATTAAAACTATCTATTTGTGCCCGTAGTAATATGATGTGGGTTGAGTTTAGATGGTGCACCAAGTAGAAGTGTACCTGTCGATTCTAATGAAACTGCACAATGAGGTATAATAGCTAATTTGGGTTGGTTGAAAGGGGTCGGTGAGGTGATTAGGCAGCTGTTGCTAGTACACACTATGTACTTACGTCATGAGCACAGTTGGGAAGAGGTACGGACAGAATATGCTTATTGCTCAGTACTTATCACGTGCGAGTGGCAAAGGCTACAAGTAAATGACTGTGGGCATCAAAGGCAACGATGTCAGTTCACTTGGACTCATTTGGTTGGTTGCAACGAGTGTACTTTAAGTCTAGTTAATCACCCAAAAAAAGGAACGCGGTGTAAAAGATAAGCGTTGTCATTAACTTCCGATTCTAGCGATGATAAACGAGAAGCTTTTTAGACGCTGAAATGCCATGATGTATATACACATTGGAAAACAGAAGTTCTGTCTTGGAGACTATGAATTTGTATAGTGGGAAAATTGTCCACAAGCTCAGCATCTAAGCAGGAGCAGAAGAGTAGAGGCACCTGTAGTAGGGGGTCTCCTTGAGGGCCTTCATGGTGAAGGGAGTGCATCCCTCGGAACCAGCAGGCTTGTCTACACCATTGAGCCAGATCTTCCAGCCTCCGCCAACAGCGCCGGGGCAAGCCTGGAAGCCAACGTCGCCGGTCAGGCCACCGGCAGCGAAGACGAGGTCACCATCCTTGTTGATCTTGAAGGGGCCGCGCTCCTGGTTCTTGCCGATAGGCTGGACACCGGTTGAGTAGCGGACGTTGCCCTGGCCCATGCCGCTGCGGTCAACGTAGAGCTGGAGAGGGGGGTTGAATGTGTAGAGGTAGACGCTGCCGTCGTCGTGGAGCGAGAAGGAGGCGTAGTCGATGCCGTTGGTGACGTTGTCGCGGCTGCCGTTGATGCCACAGGTCTTGTTGAACTGGTCGGGCGAGTTGATGACGAGGTTGCCCTCCTTGGCCTGGACGTTGCCATAGTGGATGGGGGTGCCGGTGCGCAGAGACATCAGACGGAAGATGTCGCCGGCCTCGGGGCGAGGGTAGGCAGTAGTGGGCTGGGGAAGGGCGGACGAGATGGCGGCCAAGGAGGCGGCGGCGAAGGTGGCGGTGAACTTCATGTTGATGGATTTTTTTGGTGGATGTGGTAGTTGTAGTTGTAGTGATTAAGTATTAATGTAGAGTTGATGAGTTGATGGTTGGATGAAGGCCTGGCAGAGAGCAGCATCAGGTCTCTCCTATATACAAATGACCTCTCGTATTTCCTACCCTTGCCTTACATCATCCGACAATCAAAGCTTGTCCTCAGCGAGGCTCAACCGTGCCCGCTCTCGGCGCCGACGACCAAAGTGCAACGTTATGACTTCATGCAGCGATCCATTCTCGTATCCGCAGTTTTTATGGCCCTGAAATAGCCAGCACCGGCTGTGGCGTGTCCCCCACCCTGGACTGGGCGAAGAAGGTTTTGGGCGGAAATGACGCATCACAGCCACTTCATTTACCCGAGATGCGAGCCAAGCGGCCGAAAGAGGGAAGGCGCAGTCCTCTCTCGGGCCCTGATTGGCGACGGCCTCGGATGGCACACAGCCCAAAATAGAAACCGCAATATCGCCTCCACAAAAACATTCATGCCGAGGTTACGCCTTCCAAACTAGTCAAGTCAATATTTCCTCACGTTACGAGACAGCAGACGCCTCCAGTCAAACACTGCGCTACATCACACGACAATGTTACTCTTCCCTCGTAAAGGTGGGTTCCAATAGCTAGCAGTGTGCTTGGACAGTCGCTTCGAGAATCTTACTGCGTACTGCTGTATCGCGGCAAAGGCGCAATCTTAAAAGCACGGTCAATGCGCAACAACGCGTAAGTCCAATTTGCCTACTGCTGGCTCGACGCCTTGCCCTACACAGTACTACTATGGACCGTCATGCTCTAATGTAGTCTAGCAGGCTCTACATATAGCTACCAAACACTGAAGGTTCTCTGTAATGGCACATCACGAGAGCTCAAGTCATGCTACCCGCGGGAAGCCTCCACTTCTGCCAAGTAAACATCCCAATAACTCACATCGCGCCGCGCCAAGTTGAATGCCACTGATGTCGACTCCCCAGGATTGAGGTACTAGTACATCTTCTCCAAGCCTCGTAAGCTGCGCACTAGCATCCCCGCCTCACTCGGATACGGATAAGGGCAAGAGATTGAGTTGGGGGGACCGCAGCTCCCCGCTTTTGACCCGTCTTGCTGACCGCCACCTCAACTATTATAAGAGTCGCCCAAAGCTTCACGTTGCCACCGGCATATATCCGCGCATTGGCACCACGAGTACGCGATGCGTTAGCTACTGCAATGTTCGTCTTCAGATTTGACACGTTCAAGGTACCCTAGATTTTACATACACTTCGCCTTGCATGGATGCATCAAGATTGGCGTCATCCACTCTCGTGGATTGTTCTCAAGTCAACTTGGCCCGGCAGTCTGAGGTACGAAGTCATGTCCACAGACATGTCCGTCTCTTTTCTTGTGTGACCGCTGCCCCAGTACTCAAACCTATTACCGCTTGTGGACGCATACTCATACTCCCAATCCTCCCATCTTGGCTCTCTTCGGACGGCAGTAAGATGAGTGGCGGTTCCTGGCCACAATCCATGAATCCTGGCGCCGATAATGCCTCCATTGTTCCAAGAAGCACAGTGGTCGGTCAGCACCGTGGTAGGAAAATAGGCGTCACAGTAATCCACAAAATCATCTGCCGCCTTCTGCGAGGGTGTTATGCTGGCAATCCCCTGGGAAGACACTTTTCGAAGGATCCTAGCGCAGTACGTGATCTGATTCTCGACGCTATGCACCACAGTACCAGCCGGGCCACTGGCATGCGGACCGCCCACGTATAAAAGGTTTGGGAACCCAGGTGTTGCAGCACCTAGGTAGGTATACGGGAACCCAAACTTCCCACCCGGCTTCCACGCGGATTTCAGGTCGACGCCTCCGGCTGTGATGGAAAACGGCGGAGCCATATCCGAGTTAGCACCGGTGGCGCAAAAGATGGCGTCGAATTCGCGGTGGTCCCCATCAATCGTCTCAATACCAGTGGCGGTGAATCGATTTATACGAGTCGCCACAAAGTCCACGTTGTCCTCGAGAAGGGCTTCAAGGTAGCCTGGTCCAAACGTCAACCGACGGCAATGGGGCGAGAAGTCTGGAATGAGATGTTTGATTAACTCTGGTCTTCCGGCGAGCCTCTTGGTCATTCCAGCAACAAGGGCTTTGGTCAAGGCGACGTTCTCCTCCGACTTGAGCATGCCTTTGTACTTCCTCCAGTATGCGCCTTCAAGCTGCTTCCTGAAGTCTAGGTACACTTCTGGGTCTTTGAACGACTCGAGCTGCTCTTTTGTGTAGGGCTGTGATTGAAATGTGTGTTCGGTGTTAGGGATTGCAGCAGCAATCCAAGTCGGATTGCGTGCGTAATGGGTTACATGGCCGGCTAGCTTCTGCAACTCTGGGAGTATCTGCACCCCGCTCGCACCATTGCCGATGAGCGCGACTCTCTTTCCGCTCAGACCATAGCTAGAATCCCAGTTGGACGTGTGCCTCAAGTGACCGCGGAACTCGCCAACTCCCGGATAGTCAGGTAGTTTCAACGCATTGTACCGGCCAATAGCCAGAATCACAAAATCGAACAGCTCCACGCCTGTCTTGCTCGTCTTTGTGTTGTGTACTGTGACAGTCCAGGATTTCAATGCACCGTCCCAGGAGGCGCTTTCAACGCGGTGGCTGGGTTTAATGTATCGATGCACATCATATTTGTCCGCCTGGTCTTTCCAGTACTGGAGAATCTCAGCACCAGTCGCAATCGTTTCCGTCCAGTTCGTATTCGGCAAGAAGGTGCACTGATACACATGCGCAAAGGTGTCGCACCGGAGCCCGGGGTAGGCATTTTCGAGCCAGGTCCCGCCCTATATCAGCGACAAAGATGGTAAGTTTATTTGTCTGCTAACTGGAACAAGCACCTACCACATCATCATTCTTTTCAAAAATGGTAAGCTCGATGCCAGGCACTTTTGCGGGCAGAAGAATGCCTGCTATGATGCCCGACAACCCGGCTCCCACAACGGCGACACGCAGCGGCCGCACGTCATCGATGCAACGGTCTGCGTCGATCTTCATTCGCGAAGTAGGGTAGGAGCTTGGCAGAGATGCACCCTCCACGGGTATGCTGGTGGCGGTAGAGTCTCGTGCAGGCTTAATACCTGTTGTTTGAGCACCCATTTTCGTTTGTGCTTGAAGAGAATAACGCTGGTTGGAAGCTATGGTATCCCACAAAAATCTGTACAACCAGAGTTGATGACGACCCAGTTACTGGGATATAAAGATTGCCCATTATCTATCTCACGAGATCCGAGATTGTGTTCCTACAGGGTCGGATCCCACGGCGCTCTCCAACTAAGGTAAGCTCGGTCGTATGGAGTTCGTTCCTCGCCGAAATATGGCAGCGTATTGCGCAGCAACACACCAGAAAGGACTAACTCAGTGCGCCTGGAGAGCTGATGGAGCAACTCTACGGAGTACAGCTGGGAACAAGCGAGGGGCCTTTGTATTGTTGATCCAATTAAGAACAGAAGTTGCTTCAGACATTCAGTGCTGTATTACTACTCCTACTACTACTACTGCTACTAATTCGCATGTACGTACTTAGTTACCGTTATTTTTATCCACCAAGTGTGATAGCTTCATCTAGGGTATTGAAAACTAGCTCCTCTATTGCATTCTAAACAGCTTCCCCCACCTTTTAGCAGAGAAAATCGTCGGAAACTTATCTTTCCAGGTCTTTCACAAGTAGACCAATGCTTTCGTCCTAGCCGGCTTGTTGACAAGTTTGGTATACCCACAAGTGAGAAGTAAAGAGACGAGAGATGATAGTTTTCCTCAAACTCAAATTTACTACATACTAGAGAGAGCACTTCCGTACTAGCAAAGCCGTTAAACGTGATCATGTGCGCGACATGGGAACAAAACTGAATCAGTGAAGTTCAAGATAGCTAGTTCATCTCATAGTAGCGCCTCCCCCAAGTAGCTAGTGCTTTGCCTACAGAAGTGCTCGTTTTTACCCTAAACAGGTATCCGGACGTGCAACGTCCAATCACCTCAAACAATACTGTAACACGCGCTTGACATTCCACCACTTGGCTTCTTTTTCCATCTGTTTGCTATGCAGCCTATCAGATCAATTATCTCAGAAAAGATTAGCTAGCCACACCCTGACCTGCTGCAATCAGATATCAAAATATTTGACTCTATAGTCAAAGTAAAAATAAATTTAGGAATACTTCTAAAAATACACCTGTTACAGATATATGCCTGTTAGGCAAACCTCTCTTAGATACGATAACTAGAATACGGTTGTGACGAAGGCAGCAATAGCGAACTGCGGTTGCTGATATTTTACAAAAGGTATAATTACAAGAACTGAGTAGCGTTTACTTAATGATATATAGGAAGACTGTTCCCTGCGGTCACTACTACTTGGCTAAATACTGTGTATTTGTTCCCAAATCTTCCGTACAGCCCAAATAAGGGAACTCAACGCATTGTAGCTAAAGTTAAGGTCAAAAGATAAAGAGGCGTGACCCCAAACCCACCTTACAATAATGATTCATAAAAAAGCAAAGTAATGACTACTAGACAAAGCTCTATAGGGCGAGTGCTTCCTGCCGAGACTTGGATACCGGATCAAAGAAGGGTTTCTCTCCTAGGCTTACAGCACGGTTCCCTTTCTTCATCGATGTGCTCGTGGCATTTCCGGATACGTCGTTCGTCGCTGAATGGAACACGCATCGGTTATCCCAGATGGCAAGATCATTGACGTTCCATTTCAATCGAACCTGGAGATCATGATTCTCTGCAATGAGCTTCAGAAAATATGCTTTTAAGATATGGTTCTCTTCCTTCGTCATGCCCTCAAAGTAGCCACCTTCCAGCTGGTGAGCGGCTCCGAAGAGAGACTTCCACCCCGTAACGGGGTTGGTGCGGATAACGGGATGCGACGCTGCAAAGTCTGTCCTTGTATTGAGGGGAGAGCCACGGTTGCCCTCAAGCATGTTTCCGTCAAAACGTTTCGCAATTTCAGAGAAGTTAGGTTGAGCATGAACACCCGTGAGCGATTCAGCAAAGACCTTCCAGGGAGGTGACATGCGGTCGTATGCTTCGTACCCAGAAGCCCAAAGCGTATCTCCGCCACTATTCCCATTTGGAATGGTGTGAATCTTGAGGAGAGAATAGTCTGGGGGAACCTGCTCATATGTCATGCTATGCAAGAGGGTGAGCTCATACTTAGAAAGATGATAGTTGCACTTACTCAGAGTGCCATCCTTCACTAGCAATGGCTTTGCACTTGTATCGAAATCTATCATCATAGTATTTGTAACCCTCCTTAAGAATTATTAGTACAAAGATGTCTTTTAGTCATGAGAAGACACACCTTAGAGCAAATTACGAACACTTCTGGGTCGACCTTGTCATTGGGGTCATCAGTAATACCTCTTCGACTCGCATTAAACGCGTGACGGTGGAGCTGGTGATTATTAGCCCACTTCAAGATGAATTCGGATCACTCTCTACCTTAGATGTTTTAGGCTTTCCCGTCAGGTCACCGAGCTTCTGAGCAAGTGCCTTCTGATCCTCAAGTGTAATGTCCTGGTTTCGTAGGAACACTACGCCACGTTCGGAGACTGAAAAGAAGAGTCAGCGCCTAGCTACTGAATTAGATTATCTAGTGAGTCTTACCCATGATTGCAAGGTCCCTGATCTTGTCGTCGTCATGTAGAATTTGACTAACTTGCAAATCTTCAAACTCCTCCCCAATCACTGGCGTGACGGAAAAATGCGCATGAGCGTCGAGAGCTCCAGACGACTTCAGAGGCTGTACTAGCCGTGTCGCGGCAGGACCTTTTGACGTTTCCTTGTAATTGATCTCTGCCGGAGTAGAGCTGGTGCTAATGAGAGTTGCAGAGGCAGACATACTCGTGATAGGTGATGGAAACGACAGTAGAACTGGAAACCTTTGGATATGCAAAATTGATCGTTGGGAAAGAGACAAACATAATTATCTATACCCGAGATGGATCTCTACGCGACTTGTTCGGATTACACTGAACCTTTCTATGCATGGAGGGCCGAGAAGGATGTGACCTCTCGGCTCCGCACGGATTACGCGCGTAGTACAGTATTTCGTTACGCACGGTCACTAGCTAGTTGCACCTCCCCGCCCCGGATCATCTCATCTTCCCGCTGCTTGCAAAACAATGCCACCATATCCGCCAAGGTCGAGATTCAATAGTTAGACTCAGCCAATCCGGGAGATAGTCTTTCATATAAAAGATTAGTTAACAATGCAATTTATGCCGATTGGCGTTGTCACGCCGAACACAAGGCATTCATGCGTCGGTCTAGGACAGTGGGTTGAAGTGGCTGAAGCAGGTGTTTGATCGCTACACCAAGGACAAAGCCAGGAGACGGCGGCGATTACCTATCACCGACGGCTAAGGCAGCCATGCGACAAAGGCCTTCATCGATTACCGCGATTATCACGAGGGTTCTGCCTATGATATTTCCTCACATGCTACCCATACTCTCCAGCTGTTGTTGATGTTGTCTGCTTCAAGCCTCTTACTTAAAACTACACTTTGCTTTATATGCATAATCACAGAACGCAGAGGTAGGCGCCTATGAAGTGAGAGGTTTTTTGACCCATTCTGGTCTGCTTGGTTGAATACCCTCAAAAATCATTAGTATTGAAGGCCTTCGAAGCCATAGGTATTAACCTACCCAACACCTACCTTATTCTCAATCTCTTCAAAATACTAAGGCCTCAAGTTATGAAGACACCTCCACAGCAAACACGGCCTCAAGCTCCGTTACCTGATTCTTACTGGTCAGAAGCTAAGTTGTTGTTGCGTAGTGCAATGAAGGATCAAACTGATGGTAGAGTTAGGGTACTTGGATAGATCATTGACCAGCTCAGCGTGCAATTGAAGCCCGCTCAGTATGAGATACAAGACGTAAGCTAGGCGTTGGCTGCAAAGGAGAAGAAGAAGGGCAAGAAGAGAGTATCACCATTGTACGCCCACAGTGCTGAGTGATACGGGGGAGCCAAGTGGTGGAGTCCTTCATCAGAGAAGGAAGTTGACACATGTGACGCCGGATTTGAGGCCTATGAGCAACAGTTAGAAGCTTAAAAAGCTACACGGCATGATTTAAAACAGGCTAAAAGCCTACTCGAGGGAATTTAGAAGCACTGGAAGCGTGAGTCAAAAACATGAAGCAGGGAGAGCGAGACCGCGTTAAAGCCAAGAAGGCACAAACAGCAGTAGCATTCACGGCCAAAAGGGAGCATAAAAAGCAAATTCGCAACACTGAAAAAAGTATTCAATTGCCTAAAAAGGTGATCAAAAGGATAAAGTCTTTTAAGTTTAAAACAGCGAAGAAGCGTCGTTCTGCTGCTGTACGTAGTCGTCCAGTCCCCCAATGGCCCACCCCGAGAGACTCCAACAACAACAACCCGCCGCGGCAGAATCTCAATTATTCCTACAGATTTTTTACGCACAGATCCTGCAATATGGGTTTACAGAATCCCCCACCAGAGGAATTTGTGAGAACAGCTTCTGTATGGGGCTATGCAACCTCATTCTTGTAAAGCTTACAAAGGCGGTTGGGTGGATCGACTAGTGACTGTGCGCAACCCGCAACCGTGCATGGTATTCGGTATATTTTGCTGCCCTCTCTAACGAAAGGCATTTCAAAAGCCTGGATTATCTTTGCGTTCTCGACATATTAGTTTTCTTTCAGTGCGGTCTTTACTAAGATCGCCAAATTTGATGTATGTCTTGCAAAGAGAATAAGCATCCTAGAGTTTATCTACAACTTATTTTATCTCAATTCACATCTCATATGCGTGTCGAGACACTATCCGTAACTAAGGCGCAATCAAAGCCGCATTTTGTACCCCATATTTGTCTTAGCATTCGATCGATCTGCAAATCACTCTGACTAGGGACGGCGTGGAAGCATTGTAAATAAAGCCGAGTAGGATCAAAGGCGAGCGGGTAAACTCACGTACCCGGACTAGCCGAAGGATTCGGTCATATTGCGAGCATCATCGTCTGCACATGCAAGAATATGTAAGGTGCCCTCTACACCGTCTGGCACATCCTCGAGCATTCTCTACCAAATATGAATATACTTACATTGGTTTTTGTGTGTGCAGTTGCATTTGTGAGTATCCTTTACTACCCAACCAGTCAGCACTGACTATTTCAAATGCGCTTTTCGTGCATTATATCGTGTCGTCTTCAATGTTTTCTTGCACCCTCTGTCCATTTTTCCTGGTCCAAAGCACCTGGCGGCATGTGGTTTCTTTCATTCGTATAACAATCAGTTGAAAGTCGAATGGTACAAGTACATGCTGAAGGTTCACGACAAGTATGGACCCATCGTGCGCGTTGGTCCAGACCATCTTGCGGTTGATGGCAGTATTGGTTGGTCCGAGGTTTTTGGCCACAAAAGAGCTGACCGCCAGGAATTTGGACGGTATCCCGGGTTTTACAGCCCTGGGAAAGACGACCCTATCTATTTGTTCTCAGCAGACCGAACAGGCCACCGAAGGCAGCGACGATTATTGTCGCACGCCTTCTCCGATGCGTCCATGTACGAACAAGAGGCCCTGATCACAACCCATATCAACCTCCTCATCTTCCGGTTGCACACCTTTGCCGAGCGGAATGAGCCTCTCGACGCTGTCCAGTGGTACAGTTTTGCCACCTTTGACATCATCGGCGACCTAGCCTTTGGAGAGTCATTCGGCTGCCTTGAAAACAACGATTTGCACCCATGGGTGGCCAACATGTTCAATACGGTCAAAGCAGCTCTCATGATACAGTTTCTAAATCAATATCCTCTGTTGCGACCTTTCGGAAGAGTGTTGGGGAAGAAACTGTTGGCTCAGCGAAAGGAGCATTCCGAGTTCGCAGCTGGAAGGGCCAAGCAAAGGCTGTCCCTAGATCCAGCAACGAATAGCCGCAAAGACTTTGTGACGTATATATTGCGCCACAACGACGAGAAGGGAATGAGCGAGGGTGAGATCATGGGCAACCTCAACAAGATTATCGTTGCTGGGAGTGAGACTACAGCAACCACGCTATCGGCATTGACGTTTTACCTGACTCAGAATAAATAAGCATTAGGAAGGCTCACAGAGGAGATAAGGCAGACATTCTCCTCGGAGGATCAAATCACGATGAGTTCGACCGCTCCCCTTTCTTACCTACATGCGTGTCTCCAGGAAGGATTGAGAATTTACCCTCCTACTGCAGAAACCCCGCCGCGCGTGTCTCCTGGTGATTTCATTGCAGGAAAATATGTTCCTCAAGGAGTAGGCTCTGTCCCCCGTGGTCGAAGAAAAGGCAGCGACTGATAGGCGCGTAGACCCGAATATCGATATACCAATGGGCCTCATACCATTCCGCGCGTAATTTCGTGAAGCCGTCGGAATTCAAACCGGAACGCTGGCTACCACCAACGCATCCTTATCACGATCCCGTTTTCAATCACGACAACAAGGATGCGTTCAATGCCTTCTCATACGGTCCACGTAATTGCATTGGGAAGAATCTTGCTTACGCCGAGCTTAGGCTCATTATGACCCGTGTCCTCTGGAACTTTGATATTTCCTTAGTGGATGGATATGAAAGTTGGACTGAGCACCACAAGGTCTTTAGCATCTGGCAAAAGACCCCATTAATGGTTCGGCTCAGCCGTGTGGCAAGGTCGGAGAGTACGTAGGCTTCTAAGCTTCCGCTTCCGAATTCCAGCAATTAGAGCGCATAGACTAGAAAAACGCCAATATACAGAGCACAAGACCTTATCATTCCATCCAACCAGAAATGCGTTGTGGATGTTCCGACAGATCTTTTGCAGAGGCAGCTCCAACTCGGAGTGGATCCGAGGCAGTCGGAGATGATCCCGCCCAATTCGGTCATACGTTTCTTAGCAAAAACCGACATTAACAAAAGTATGTTTGTATCCTCTCACAAGCTCTGTAAAAAGATATCATAGCACAATGAACCCTGTGACTGCTAAAATGTACGACACGATGGACACTGATATCAAAACGAAAACCTTTCTTGGCAACAGAACGTATCTCAAGAGCTCTGGTGCACTAGATCCTTATAAAAAATGGACTTAACTCCTATTCTTGGGACAGAGTTTGTCGACGCAAGATTGGCTCAATGGATGTCAGCTCCAAATGCCGATGCCATGTTACGCGATCTCGCTATCAAGAGTGGGTGCCACCAGGTTGAGGCAGACGAATACTGTGCTAACAATTTGACTAGTATCTGAGAGAGGTGTCGTATTTTTCCGCGGCCAAGACGATTTGACAAATGAAATGCAAAAGCAACTTATGCAACGACTGGGCGAACTGTCTGGCAAACCGAGAACATCAAGCCTGCATGTACATCCAGTAATAAGCTCAGAGAGGACGCTGGCAGATGATTTGGAGATCAGTGTCATCAGTACAGAGTTGGGCTCTGGAAGGCAGATGGCTGCCGTAAATCCTGGGCAGTGGCATACCGAAATTGCTTTTGAACTGGTTCCAGCAGACTATACTTCATTACGCCTTACAAAGCTTCCAAAAACAGGTGGAGGGGAGTCCAAATCCTGATGACGCGCCCTGTGCACAAAAGCTAATCCTGCGCAGATACAATGTGGGCTTCAGGCTATGAGATATATGATAGGATTTCCCACCCATATCGTCGGTTCCTCGAAGGACTAACAGCTACATTTGCGCTGCCCAGTATAAATACAGCGACGCAGCGCCTTGGAAGTTCATTGTATGACGGGGCACGTGGGTCTCCCGACAACGTCGGAGCAGATCTGAAAGCTGTTCACCCTGTTGTGCGGACAAACCCCGTGACGGGATGGAAGAGCATTTACCCAATCGGGCTACATGTCTCACATATCAATGGCGTCACACCAGAAGAGAGCCAAAACCTGTGTGAGTGGCTTTTGCAGATGATCTATCGCAACCACGACCTTCAAGTTAGGTTCAAATGGCAGAATAAGAATGATATTGGTGAGCAATCTTTCTATGATTCTGATCAACACCCACTAACATTCGCTTAGCGATCTGGGACAATCGTAGTGTTTTTCATGCAGCCACATTTGATTTTGAAGGGTTAGGAGAGCGCCTGGGTGATCGTGCTGTGGGAGTGGGCGAAAGACCTTTCTTTGACCCTAACAGCACTTCGAGACGAGAATCCCTTAATTTGCCAAGCTACGTGTGATGCAGTACCGCACTTAAATCAAGACATCCTCTCGAATTCATTGAATAACATGTTAAAAACATATTCAGTTTCCGTGCTATTACAAGAAGGGATTCAAAGTAGAGTGCTAGATTAGCTTTCTAGAAAAAATAGTATAAACGTTACTCATACTCAATAGCTCCTATACTTATTAGAGCTTTGGTAATTTATTTGCTCTTTGATCTTTATGTCGTTCATTGAAGATTTGCTATAGTAGCCGCTAGGCTCGAGTGATAACTGGTCTTCAAAATTCGCATTGAATTTTGCCCTAGCGCTACTAGTTGGCCGTCACCCGCGCTGATCGTTGAGTCGTCAACTTCGGTGAAGAACAAACCAATCCTGCCTGAAGTGGTAACTTTTGCTGCCGATCACCAGCATTCGATGTCGTGAAAAACACTTGCCTATTTGCAACAGGACCCATAGACTACTGAATCTAACTAATGCACCGTCAGCTTATCAGGTAAGGTATCTTTTCTTCGTCCCCATGCGCTCCTCCAGAAGCTTGGTTGATTCCGAAGAGCAGTTCCGACTCGATCGGCGTAGGATCATATTACCGAGGTAGAGGATCAAAATAATCTCGGATCTCCGATGGGCAAGTTCTAGACTTGAGGCTTGTAGCTAGAGCTATCTTTCAATAAAGATGTTAAAAATGAGCAGAAGTGAGGTTTCACCGGCTACATCAATTGTCGTCGCACTGAAAACTGCTCAAGCCATGACAACGTATCACGTCTCCGATGTGGAGTTCAACAGTTTGCAGGGGAAGAATATAGTTGTAATTGGTGGCGTACAAGGGATTGGGAAGGCGACTGTCGAGCTCGCTCATAGTAAGTGTTTTCAGCCGTGCGGGTCAAGGGATAAGACTGATTCAAAGAGTTTACAGAGAATGGTGCGACAGTGCTGCTTGCGGATATCAACGACACTTTAGCTCAGGAGCTTGTTAGCCAATTAAAAGAGTAGGCTCCTGTTGTTACTTTGGCATGGTTTTATCCTGGGTTAGTAGAGAAACTAAACATCTTCTAGGCGAGTGATTTTCCGTCACTGTGACATGTCGGACTGGAACAGTGTCCTCGATCTTTTCGAATTTGCCCAGAGAACTCTCAATGTTATACACGCTGTAGTCTGTAATGCCGGTGTCGTTGGTTGTTCGCGTCTTTTCGGCGACGAACGTGATTCCCAAACTGGCAGGCTCCTTCCTCCAAATTTGGATGCGATTCACGTTAATCTCATAGGGGCGATACATGTCGTCAAGGCAGCAGCTCATTATCTGGGCGCTGATGATGATGATTTCAAGAGAGCTATTACCATCACCGGGAGCACAGCAGGATTGGTCGATGCCCCTGGTGTCGATCCGCTCTATGTCGCATCAAAAACAGGGCTAGTGGGTCTTCTCAGAAGTATGAAGATGCAACTTGCTTCAAGAAACATCAATGTCAACCTACTAGCGCCATGGGCGACAGGGGGTCTTTTTTTCTCATCCTTCTAGGCTGCTGCTGACTGTATTGTAGATACTCCTATGTTCACAGATGAGCTCCTGAAAATTTGGAAGGGACTGCCCATCAACAAGCCCATCGACCTTGCCAAAGCATTGTTAATGCCAACGACTCGACCCGAAATCCACGGGAAGGTATTTTGGGTGGGAGGAGGAAAAATCGTAGAAATAGAAGATAAGTTGCGTGAAACTCGTCCGCAATGGCTGGGACAAGAGTTGAGTGATGGCGTTGAAGAGGGGCGACAGCGGCTCAGCGGCTTATAATATTTATTTCTATGCAGAACACGAGTTCTCGAATGAATAGACTTATATGGGCACTTTCTGTCGTTTATTCGTTCGTTCATTTTGGTTCAAACTGTTTATGCAAATTTAGCTGTTGAAATGTTTATAGACATCCAAGCCCCGTTCAGAAGTTTAAATGGATTTCTAGCCTTAGTAGTTGAGAAGTCTTGCTAGTCCCTCGGTATCAACGTTAAACTATTATACCCAGTTCAAACCCTTATCTTCAACTAGCAATAGATCACCTAACCTATCCTCTATCATTAATGCTACGCAAATCTCCAGAGACTTCAATAGAGTACTAATTTATTTCCTCTCAATCAAAGAGCTTATCAAGGAGCATTGAAACGCATGTGGTCGCAAGTCTACACGTAAAACTTTTTATACTTACGCCAGATGTTTAGATCAATAAGAAGATAAACAGATAAACAATACTAGTTAGGTTAGAAACAATCCTCTCGTCGTATCTAAGCCCACCAAATATGGATCAGATGCCCGGCGCTCAATCCCTCGACATTTTCGCCTAGTAACAAGTGAGGATGCGATTCGGATTGTCTCTGTTGGAATCAATTAGGACTCGACTTTGAGTCCTACTGATCCGCGACACTGATTGGTCGACACGGGCACTGGCAGAGGCGTTGTCACCGCCTATTGGCCCGTGCGCGTAGGAGCTGTAGATACTCGACACGATAGAAGCTACAAGACAATCAATCCGCTTCCTCACCATAGTATTGCAGCTGCAAGTTGATTCACCCCCGTGACACCTTTATCGTGCCAACACTGATCAGTGCTTGCACGGAAGCACAGATCGGCAAGGAACATCCG